TTACCATCGTACTTTTGCAAGTTTTGTCGTCGTATGTCTGATCAAATTTTGGCCGCGCGTGTGCGAGAACCGTTCGCGCACATTCTATATTTAGTCTTTCGGGTTCTATTCAAAGCTCTCGAAAGCTGTTGAAAGTTTTTTTTTTGACACGCCGTAAATGTTTTCTTTCTTTTCAATTTTCCACGTAAAAAAGTNTTTTTTTTTTTTTTTTTTTAATATTCCTCTTTCGAGGAAATAAGTGGAGAGCGAATTATCTGCTTGTTGTTTTTATTTTTTTATTTTTTTTTTTGTTATTTTTCACAACGGAAAATATCTATATCGGATTTCTATAAAAAACGCAATGAAACAACATTTTCTTTCGTCGATAAATTCTAATCGCGCGCAATTCTGTTGTAACCAAAGAACAATACGTATTTCTCGTACATTACAAATTACTCGTGAGAAAAATTCGAAATTCGCTATATCGTCCGTAAAAAAAAAAGAGCGAGAGTTATTAAGAAATTAATTTGGGGGTTACCGAAATAATAATAATAACACGCCCGTCACATCATGATTATTTTACACGCAGGCAAACACAACTGTGCAACAGACGCAATATCAAATAAGTCGCTTCTTCCACGAAGAGTACCTCCGCGAAGCGTCACGTGAAAGAAGCACGACGGAAGGATGGCGGAAGGTCGGGCGTGCACAAGCCGTTACGTTCTCTCGCGCGCCAGAGTTTGCACAGATGTGCCCGGCGTGTTTGAACAAATGCGAACGAGACGGCGGCGGCAAAGAGATGCATCCCGAGATATCTGCCGCGAGAGCGCCTATATCTTGCTCGCAACACAAACGGGGCATGAGCGTGCGCGTCTCTCACCGCATGAGAGGGGTTTTGCGTTATGAACGGAAAAACCGCGTTGCGTCTGCGAACGTTGCGGATAATTTCTATCTCTGGATTGCAAAGCTTCCCGGCGGGATATATCATCATTTAACTATTCCCCTGGAGCTACACGCGCGCGGGACTGACCTCCGGTCGAAATTACTCCACGTGGCTTAAATGTCGCCACCGCCGCCGCCGCCGCCGCGCCGTTACGATAGCTCGCAGATGATGTCACCGCGCTCTCCTTATTTATGTCCGTCCACAAGCAGTTTTCTCTGTTCGATTCAGTTTATTTTCTGATGCAAATTCACAAAAAAAAAAACGCAATATAATGTATTCTATCTTTTATTCATAAATAGATCTTGACGCGCGTCTTGTGTAGATATATTTTACAAACACGTGTCTCTCTGTCTGCGTATTTTAATTTGCACATTTTTGCACAATGCAGTTTGCTCATAACTTCTCGCGTGCATCTTCTCTCGTTCTTCGCATTGCAAACAGATTTCTGATTTTTACGGAAATATCTCATTTCCACATTACATTAGCGTATAGTTATATATGCGCTGTAAAGTAATTCTTACACATCGTTTGTAAAATTCCAAGATTCGAATTTTGCAACTTATCCTGTTTGCTTTTAAATGTATATATAACGCGATGTGAATTTGCGCTCTGGTTAAAAGACGATAAGTTCTCGATCGAGGCCGATACAAGTTGTATCTATCAATTGCGTGCGGGTTTCGAGTCGCGACCTCTTTCATCGGCTCCGTTTCTTTCGCCCGGTCAATATTTATGAATCGGCCGACGGTCGAGCGTGTCGAAGCAAGCGGCGCCTACTGATGACCCTTAATGACCCAACTTCTTCCCGGGAGAATCTCGATAATATTTCCTTACCATCCGCTTGTAACAGTTTTCTTTTCCAAGTGCGCATGTACGATATGTGCGATAAAAATATTTTTGTGTGCGCGCGCGCGCGCGCGACAATCTAACAATAAACGTTTCTCAAGTAGAAATGCGTAAATTTGTCGAGATTACATTGCAATCGGAGTCGATTGTGTTTTTTATTGTTTCACGTTATAAAAAACATATAAAATAAAAGTAAACGATAATTTGTAGAGACCAACTACTTAACTAACAAGGATGCGGAGTGTTGGTGCTTCGACGGCAAAGTCGAATTATGAAGAAGAAACGCTTTGCGCTCTTTCGTTATACAGTTAAACAATAACGATCGTCGTCGACGACGGTGGCAAGCAGATGGTCGCTATCGAGAGTGAGGTCTTGTTATCGGCATGATAACGTCTCTAAACTAACGTGCGACGAATATACAGACGATGCCAGGTGGCCGGGAAGCGTTATCTCTCTTACTTACGCAAACAGAGATCCGCCTCGATTTTTCGCGGACGTTAAATTCTCTTTATTCCATTCTTTTCTCACATCATAATGTACCAAACGGTAATAAGTACATTTTGTTCTTTTTTCAATTCTAATTAAAATTATTTTTTCAATTAGCGCTCTAATTAACGTGCAAGTTAATAATTCGCACTGCGTCGCAAAAACTTGTTTTGTTGAGGTTCGCACGTGGCCGTGGAAATGACGCAGAAAACTTGCGTTTGGCACCCATCAGAGCGGATACTTAACGTGCGCGAAGGAATTTCGAGCCTTTCCGGAGAGTTCGCGCTCTCTCTCTCTCTCTGGACAGCTTCCAAAATACGCAAGTTCTTGCGGCAAAAAGTTTTCGGAAAAGCGCGTCTGAGGTCGGCGTGTGATAGCCGAGATCAGAAAGAAAAGACGATCCGGTCCGTCATGATCGCGATGACTCTCTCGGAAAGGCAATAAAAACAAGAGCAACGAACAGACAAGATTGGCGCCAGCGTTATGTGGCAATCACACTTCACACTTCGCGTATTATTTCTCGAAAGGATACGAAAGCGAAAGAAAGCGAGAGCAGAGATGAGGAAATGCGTGTTTATTAATATTGCAGAATCGAAACGCAGTGTGTGCGTTGTTTGACACTTTTAAATTTCTACGAAACTGGAAGTTCATCGACATATTTGAATTCTTTTTCATCTTATGTGGATTTTCTATATTTCTCGTAGATTTTTTTATGCACTTCTAACACGATAGATTTTTTATATTATAATTTTTTATATTACAATTATTTTACATCATAATACATAATCAAGGAAAAGTAAGAAGAAAAGTGAGAAGAAAATTTCTGATAAAAGCAACGTGCGTTCTGATCTCGAGATCTCGACGTTAGATGTGCCGTTAGATATCTAAGAACGATAAACAGATTTCGTTTCGTTAATTTCATTCCGGAATAATAGACCGGTAGACTGAAAATAGGAAAAGAAGAAACGCGAGAAGATAAGTGAGAGAGTCAACAGATATATATGGCCAAACCGCGATCGAAGAAATTCTATGCGTTCTACAACGCGTATCGAATGCCATATCGCGAATTAAAAATAAATTATTAGTATTTGCACGGTTCGATCAAATGACGGTCGCGTGGAATCCGTGTGATCGATCAATCGTTTTTCGCTAACCAGCCGCGCTGTGAAATTCATCACAGTATACGCTTTATGTAATCGCACAAGGAATGTCAAAGTTTAAGATCGCGCGAAGTTGCGGATCGTATGGAATTTTTATGTCTCGCCGTTGGGAAATGTGAGAAAGATAATCGCGAAATCGCGATCTCTCCATTCTAACGTTGGATAAAATTACGCATCGTCGCGTTTGCACGTACGTTTTTTTTTTTTTTTTTTTACACAAACAGAAGACGTTTACGTCAGTTTATCCGACAATTTGAGCATTGTGTAGTACTGAGTTGCGCACTGTGACTTTTTATTTCTTTCGTGACTTTTCACACTGCGTGTGTCGTCGCGACACACGTGTTGCGATCACATGTTTTCAATGTTCAAAATTACAAAAAAAACTATAAAATGAAATAAAAGAAAAACGTGTGAATGTGTTTCAAAAAACTTGTACGTATGTATGCACAATAAGATGTAATTATACAGGTGTAAAAATTTATTTAAAAAAAATTATTTAAAAACCAAATTATTTTTTGGACCTTAACGTACATTAGAGAGAGTTAAAACAAATGAAGAGGACAGGACGGGAATTCACATAAGCCGCGCGATGACAAGCGTCTTCGCGGGCGATACTAAAATCAGCAAAATTAGTCTCCACTTTGGAATCCGAGTAGGCTTGGATTGAAGAAGCGCGGGCAAAGAGGAACGAAATATTGCCGGGTATATTATAATCTTTCCTCTCTCTCTCTCTCTCTCTCTCTCTCTCTCTCTCTCTCTCTCTCTCGGCCGCGGCTTTTCTGTATGCGCGCCAGATGGTACCAGCTGGATGACGCATCAAAGCAGAAACCTCCCGCGTGTCCGAGGCACGGTTCTGCCCACGGAATCGCAAGGAAACACGTGCGCGATCCCGCCGTTCGCTCTCTGTGCCCGTTGTATTCCGCTCAACTCGTAATGCGAGAATTCGGTGAAATTTTATAACGTCATTGGAAAACATTAATTTATTAACGCGTGTTCGCAAGAAACGGCGTCGCATCAAATTTCATTCATAAATTCCTCGAGTGACTCATATCGCACTCTCTGATTAATTACGCTGACATATATATAGACAAATATTGTGGACATTTTATTTTCTCTGTACAAAAACAAAAGTTAAAACATATAAACAATATATACTACGATGACGCAAATGGTAAAAATAATAAAAAACAAAGCTATAAACCAGATTAGCCTTCTAGATTTAATATTATAATAATAATAACAACAACAACAACAACAATAACAACAATAACAATAACAACAACAATAACAATAACAACAACACTAATAATAGCAACAATAAGAACAACATTCTGTCGCTTTCAAAAATTAATAAAATAATATTGCAACATACAAGATGTTAAATTAATTCACGAAGTAGATTCAGATAAAGCGATTTTTTACAACATTTTGAAATATTTAATAACAGTTATTTAATAACAGTTTAATTTAAATTAAGACTGTAAGAATTAATATTGTTTATTTTTTACTTTTATTTACTGTAGTTATGATATTTGTATAAATAAAATACAAGAGCCACGTTTGACGTAAATTATCTATTTTATTTGCAGCTGGTGTTATGGCGGGTTCCGAGAGAGACAGCGGCTCTTGTAGTGGTGCTGACGAGGACAGCAGATCGGGTCTACATTCGCCCACCGGATCCGAAGACAGCGTCGAGGTACAGGTGACGCCGATTTCATTACGAAACAAGCGAAAGCTGGCGGAACCGCGGAAGATTCAAGAGACGAGCGTCATCGCGACGCCGTTAAAAAAGAGACGATTTGATCCGATCTCCGAGCACACCAACGTGGATCAAGAGGAGGGAACCGCTCTGAATACACCTAGTCCCTTTAGACCTTGGATTCCTGTCTCCCGTAAGAATGAATTTAAACCCACTGTGACCTTAATAACGACGTCGTCGACAGCTACGTTGACGGTCTCCAGCACAACGACAATCACCGCGATGGTGACGTCGTCGACGGTAACTTCGACGACGTCACCTACAAAGGCATCGTCCAGTGATGGAGAAGAGGAAGAAAAAAAGGAAGAAACAGACGGAACAGCGGAAAGGTTGCACGAATCGATGAGAAAACTGCAACATCCCAGTGGTCACGATCGATCGATTGTTTCTGCTCGACGAGAACCTCGTCATAAGACGTTCGAGTCAACGGCACCGACAACATCGGTACTCACGTCTAATGTGATTCCCCTGCCGCATCCCAGGCTGCAAGAAGAGCCGCTGTCCCTAGTGGTGAGGGACGAAACTCCGAGAGTGCCATCACACCCTGCCGTGAGCGGTACTTACGAGAAGACACCGTCGTACATGATGGAACATCTGCTAGCGTCGTCCGGTCGCGGTCAGATTCACCAGCAGCAGAATCATCCGAGTCACCGAGGTCATCCGACGGTGTCCTCTACGTCTAAACATCATCACCAGGGCGGTCAGCAGAGGAATTACAAAAATATGACGAGAGAAAGACGAATAGAAGCAAATGCTCGAGAGAGAACCAGAGTTCACACCATCAGCGCGGCCTTTGACACTCTGAGACGCGCCATACCGGCGTACTCGCACAATCAGAAGCTGTCGAAGCTCTCGGTGCTAAGGATTGCCTGCAGCTACATCATGACGCTCAGCAAGATTCTCGAAAAGGACGACGAAGTGACGACAACCACAACAAGAACCAATTGTCCCACGGGTTTGAGTGGTTGTGTCGATCTGGTTTCAAGAACTATTCAAACGGAAGGTAAACTCCGAAAGCGGAAGGACGACTGAAAAAATTTTGTTTCCAGAAGAAGAAAAAAAACAACAGACAACGGAGACCGCGTGTTTACGAGATAACAGCTCGAGATAGCCGGTGATTTCCTATCTTTCACACGTTGTTGAAAAAAATTGTTCGTCTTTTCTTCTCGATATCATTTTGATCAGCGCGGGAAGGAAAAGACGATCCGTAAAGTTAAGCAAGCCATTTAACTTAAGAAAAATCGATCACCTGCGGTCTCCAGCTCTCAAGATATACTACGCAATTTCTCTCTCGATTTCTTTGTATCAAGATTATACATTGAACTGAATTAATGTGCAAAGAAGAAATGTTAATCCAGTTCAATGGGAGCTATGAGAGACAGAAGAAATTTTTGCAAAACACAAAACAAAAGTTCAATTAAACAGATAATTGTGAGTTCTGTTTGTCTGAAATATTTATAAAAATTATAATTAACCTCACATACGCTTTGTATATATATATATATATATATGTGTATATATATATATATATATTGTATAATATGTACATATAATTATCCATCATCTTTTCTTCAAAAATATAACAAACGCTGCGATCTTTAGATTATTAATTAAATTGCCCCGAGACTGATGGCGTCCGTGATAGGAAGCCACCTACGTTTCAATAACAGCTGCGCAACCAGACAATAAATCTCTTTAGAAGATACTCATACGAGGCACTTATAGACGATGCTTAATTTACAGCAGACAACCGTTGTATACAGTCGTCGCACTGTCAGGAAAATTATGACGACAAACATTTACGCAGTATCTGACTATATGTATATTCACGATAAAAAAAAAAAAAAAACCGACTCTTAACCCATTCGAGATGTGTCATTCCCTTTACTTAACTTTATTGACGTATCCTTGGAGATATGATGTCTTCTTCTATCACATACCGAATGTGTATACGTGTACTAAGATATTTCTCAGGTTTTAAAAAGCACACACATATAAAGCGTATATTAAAATTAATTTTATAATTTAACAATATGTTAAAGTAGAATTAAATTTGAATGCTTCTTCCGAAAAAACTAAATAATGATAACAATTTATCATCGCTATCATTGTTAGAAAATTAAATACCTTTACCGGGTGTCTTATTTATTTATTTATGACTAATTAATTGAGATACCCTATAATAGGTATCCTGAGAGAATAAGTAGGTTCTACATTTTCTCTCAGTAGAAATATAGAATTGATTCTTCTAAGATTGTTTTAGAAGTTTAAATAAAGGTTGATAAAAAAAGACACTTATCTTTTACAATTTTCGAAATTTCTTCTATTTTTAGCGATGATGGATCCGTACGAAAAGCAATGCTGCAAAAAAAAAAAAGCATTCTAACTTGAAGCTGAGAGTAAGTCTTATTGTTGTTGCCTCTCGAAAGGGTTAAGCATGTTCGGTCCGAACGAACGGATTCGTGTGTCGCCTAGAGATGAATGATTTCGAAACTGAAATCTATCCGCAGGCGTGCGTTTTTTCTCTTCGACAAAAGGACAAAAGGATCGATCTCGGTCGCCTGCAATCTGTTGCGTCGGTTTACAAAACGTCGATCTAGAAAACGTCGAACGAAAAAGCAGAAATAAATCTGAAGCGCAAAGACAATAATAATATGCTACTTCTGGTGTGTCTTAATTTTTAATAAGACAATGTTTCATGTGTATTTAGGTACGTAGCGTAAAATTTAAATTCACCCGCCGCAATCAAAAAGCTACAAATGATATCTCGTCTTCCTGTGAAAGTTTATAAAAAGTCACACAGTAAAGAGGTAGTCTATCAAGACGTGAAAAAATAAAAAAACGCGCGGAGAGTTGAATTTATTACATAAATTTTATTTTCGGAAAAAAACAACGTCACTTGTTCCATTATCTTTATTATTATTATTATTTTGTTTTCGTTTTCTTTTCATTTTTTTTTTAATCCTGAGATTGCTTATTTCAGGTATTGTCTTTTGTTGATGAAAAGACAAAATCAAAAACCTAGTAAAAATTTGCATATATTATAAAAATAGCGCGCGTAAGGCAAAAATTATTTAATTTTGCACTTAGATTCGACTCCCTCTGGTCAATATACGCAAAAAAATTTTGAATACAAGGAATTATTGTATATATTGTGAGATTTGTGTTCGAATATATATATATATATTGTTGGCGATCATAACTGCAAATGAAGAAATGTTACTTGATCCTGAAGAGAAAAGTGAAAGAGTAATTGAGAAATAAGTTGTGTTCACATTTGTCTTTTTTTTTCGCGCAGTTTTGTCTCGACTGCGTGTCGTTTTTGTCGACTGTTTGTGTCAAACTCTGTAAAGTGTAAATAATAGATATGTAAGTATATTATAACACACACTAACGAGACTTATGTGCCGAAAAAATATATAGGTAATTGAACGTGCTATCGTAATGCGAAAAGGAAAAAAACCAGCGCATTTGTACATTTGGCCTTACGCAATGTTTCATGCGATAATTCGACATGTATACCTTTCTTATTCTGTAAGACAAAAATTTGGAGCAAAGTTCAAACGAAAGTAAAACTCAACAACGAAAAAAAAATTGTGTGTGTGTCTTTTTTTTGTTTATCATCACAATCCTTTCCGTTCCTTCTCTTCGCATATCTCTGTTTTTTTTTTCTCGCGCGTAATTTGATTTCATTATCATGTTACACGCTCTCTTTAGTGGGGGATATTTTATTTTCGTCAGAAAAAAAAAAACAAAACACAGAACTAAAAAGAACTTTTTAAATAAGTTTCTAATTTAAAGGCGAGCAAGCGGCCTACCGGTGAAACTTGCAGCCTTTACCGAATCTCAATCAAATAAGAGAGAGATTGATTTTATATCGCAAGATTTTTAATTGAATATGCAAAATCGCAGACTTATCGAAGATATATCGTCTGTCGCTAACGTAACACGCGTTAAGTAAAGATACAAATTTAGGTTTAGAACTGTTTGTGTTTAGTTAGAACTGTGGCGGCACGTACACACACACACAACACGCGCGCGTGCACATGGTGATAAAGTCACGCGTAACCAGTCGCAGTCAGATTTCACGAGTTTGTCTAAGCTCCCGATGGAATCGTGTTGTTGCGGCAACGAGTAGGTAAAAGCGGATCCGACACTACTAGCTTATAAAAAAAAAAACGTGTGTACGCACGCGAGAGTAGGTGTTCAGGTGTAACGACACTGCTAAATGCATCGTCGACGCGAGAGATGAGGGTGTTTCCCGAGCAAGCGCGCACATCTGGCCCACAGACAACGATATCGATCAACAATCCAATTGTGTTGTTTGCCACTTTCGCATGATATATATCGCGCGCACAAACGAAACACGCGCTCACGTTTGCGTTCCGCATCTTTTTATTAGGTCTACCGGAAAGTTCTGTTCCGTTTTTGGAATAAAACAAAATACAAATTTAATCTTAATTTTTCAAAACTGGGATATACAAATTGCCCTCACGCTGGCAAGAAATTATTAATAACAATGGCAATTATATTATTTAATAAAGTTTATTGACGGTAAGAAAAATTTGTATTTTGTTTTATTCCAAGAACGGACAGAACTTTCCGGTAGACCTGATACTTGCGATAATTATAATATTTTTTTTTTTTAATGTTTCCAATTCTCTTTTCTATTTTTATTTTTATAATCTCATACCCGCAACGCTGCTTGTGTGATCGATTTGTCATTAGCGAGGAATCGGCGCGCGGAGTTTGCGTTTGTGGGTTGTATCCGGTTCGGCAGCTGTTTAGCATAAGGGCAAATTGCTTAAGAAAATAATGATTCTCTTGCGCTGCCGCCACCTTGCAACCCCCGCGTGTCTCCTTCTTACCCATTATCTTGAGATGCGGCAGGTGGCGATGACGTTCTCGCGTTCGACCGGCTACCTGCTTGAAAACGACCGCGCGCGAGTTCGAACTCGCCACGGCAGCATCACATATCGTCTCACTCGTGTATGTAGCACGCATATGTGTGTGTGTACATATATATATATACGTACATGTACCTTGTCTCTTCGGGATAACCAGGAGTGCACGTGTAACACGGGCGTTAGGGAGAGCAACTTGAGAGGAGAAATCGACGTAAAGGTTGCGAGAAAAGAAGAAAAGGCAAAGGGATGAGAAAGATCTTTACATGCTAAGAGAAAAACGCGTATATAATATACGCACAAATCAAAAGAGCAACTTTTCACATAAATATTTAAATAACTTTAGATAAATATTTACAAACATTTAACAAAAATACAAAAGTATTTTAATAACAAAAATATTTTGAAAAGTTTTTGGTGTGTACTCGTGTTTCTATGTTGCACTTACTTAAGTATATTTTATACCTAACTCTATTCAAATGCGCATTGATGCTAATTGAAATTAATATACAGGCTGGATTTTTTTCATAAATTTTATAAAATCTGAATCGGTGTTTTGTTTTTTTTTTTTTTTTAATCGCGCGTTTCTCGCTCAGAAGGAACTGCTGTACGCGACAGCAGGAGTCTCCAAATTTAGGAGAGGCAATTTAAGAGAAGTGAGAGTCGTGTGTGAGAAACTCCTCTCTCTCTCCTCACTGCTGCGTGCTTTTCTGTGAGCAGGTGCGCAACCACAAATGTGACTCTCCGACGGATCTCAGATCTTATAATCCAAACTGAACTACTAAAAAAACTACTGCACGAAATCCATTATACGAGTTTTGTGTACGAATATGGTGTATATCGAAAAAAAAGCGACAAGAAAATCTAAGCATTAAATCTCAAAAAGACGCGTTAAAAATCGAAGAATATTTTTTTGTTATAAATTGAAACAAATGAACGATGTGTACAAAAAATCCATCTTATTGTAGATCACATACTATATAATAGATATTCTGTATTGTACGAGCCGGAAGAGAAAAACTGATTAAAGCGTTAATCAATTTTGATGCAAAACTTTGTGGCAAAGCCACAAGATAGTGTATTTGCGATTTTCACCTCGACTTCCATTTGCAATTAGAGCTTCTATTCGCAATTCACGAATGGCAGTTTCGTTGCCTGCAAATGAAGAGAAAGAATGCCGACCGACCGAGCGAGCGAGCAGGTGCTCGAAACACAACATCGCAATACGGGCGCACTTCTCTTTTCTCTTTCAATCTTCTCTTCGCGCTGAGAACGTCTTCGTTCTTCTCTCTTGAACGTGTCGTTCGCATACAAAATGATGATCTGCATCGTGGATTTTAGAGATGCTGCGGAGTTACAAACAATTAACACATATAAGAATATAAATGTTTGAATTTCAGTAAATTCTTTTTATACATTACAAATTTAAATAAACTAAACTTGCTCTTCTCAAAAAGCAAATTTAATTAATTTATCGAGATAATGATTTTAATTAAAATAATATATAAACTCGGTTGTGTTAAAAAAAAACATTAAAATTAAAACACGATATCTCATCAAAACATATCTCGTTA